GGCAGACGAAGGTTTTGGTTAATAGAAGGTGAGGTCTCACATAGGTTCACAGAGCAAGAAAATCAAGTTCCTTGCAGCCGCGGAGGTCATAGGAACGCCGAAGTCCTAACAGGCAGGAAGGTCTCAGCCGACACAGGCAGTTAAACTGCCAGGGTCAAGCAGCATTATTGCTTTTGGCATGGACGCCAAAAGGATATACATGTTTTCATAGAATGCATGCTTCATTTAAGCAGAGCGTCGCATTGAAAGATGAAGGCGCTGCTACTACCGTGTGGCGAAGGCTGCATGAAAAATTCCAAAATTTGAAAAAGACTGGTAATCACTCGCAAAAAACATTGAGTAGGATTGCAAATCTGTTTCTCTTGCAGTCAAATTTCAATTATTTTCAGTCACGCCAGGATGCCGATTCTGTGATAAGCTTCTTGCTGACCGCTGCGAAAAAGTTGATTCTTTAAAAAATGGCTACTTAAATAGCATCCATTTTTATCATTGATTTTGACTGCCTTTATATATTCAAATATATTTTATGGAAAGCATGCACGAAAAAATCCTCTGTTGTACTAATTTGATAGCAAATTACGCCTCCTTTAAATTTTTTTTCTTAAAGGAAAGGTCTCCTTCGGTTTTAACAATAAATTATGATTATGAGGTTTTAACGACTATGCGGTGTTCATCCATAATACATCGTATCCGTAATTTATTAATGCTGCCACTGATATACATAATGATCCATGTCCATTGCCAAATTCCATGAGAGCTATGCAACGACTTCCTCAAACCATAGTCAAGAACGTAATTTTCCTTAAACAGTATGAAGACAGCATTCAGATTTTAAAACTTGAATTCAGTTCTAGCAGTAGGTAGTTTTTAAAATCATTCGGCAATTTATAATTTGGCGTGGTCACATTTTGCGTAAACTTAGAATGAACGTACACACACTGAGTAAAAATTCGCATTTTTTAGAAAACAAAACGAGGAATAGGAAACGGACTGAGAAATATGTCCATGCTCACCGCCATCAAAAGTGGAAACGAATAGAATGACTATCCACCAGTGCATACAAAGTCTAAAAAATCAGGTCAAGGACCTTTTCATTATACATAAACAGGATTTTGAAGTGGATAGGCTTAACGGTATCACGGAGAACCAGAAAGTATAATACACTTCAGTCAGGCCGAGTACGCCAGCTAAGGATCCAATACCCAGTCTGAGAATATAAACCCTAGTTACTAGACACAACTATCCTGTGAGTAAATTCGAAAAGGTCGTGATGCTGTTTAGGATTTTAATTCATATTTTATCTAAATTATATTTAAAGCATTGCCTTTTTAAATACATAAATTTGAAATTTCACTGCCGCCTTTCCTCGGAGTATATTGCTGCTTTATAACATCGTACTAATAATTTGTGTACTGAATATTTTTCGTTCAGGCCACCATGAAAGTGACAATTTTCTGATATTAACTATTTTGGCAAAGAACGGTGCATCGGAATCAGCTGCAACAAATCCAGTGCTGTCTTATCAGAAGACGCTAAAAGAAGCAATTCAACTTTCGTGGCTGATGCTGACGCCAGGTGGCGATCGCATATTTAACCCCAGCCCCTAATTTCCCCCGTCCCCTTCCCCCAATGCAGGGACTTCTACACACCGATTTCGCAATGCGGGCAGCGTGAAAACTGTGCCCAACTGCACGATTTTTATTACCCTAACGGCACAAATGCAGCGATAATAAACTCATGTTTAGAAGGCGGAAGAACGTTCTCTGGGACAAATATTGGTCCCAGAGAACGTTCTTACGCCTTTTAATCAATTACCTGGGCCACGCATATTTTCGAACATTGAGAAACTCATGTTTGTAGAATAAACTTTTCAAAAATTTAAGCATTAACTTACACATGTAAAAAACACTATTTTGAGTATATTACTCATAGTTATATCTGTCTTAGACCAGCATCTGAGCTGGTTTTCTTTTAAATGAGGAAAATCCGTCCACTACGGTTTTATCAATCAAGTCTTTCTGCACTGGAAAAGCGACGTTTTTCTATGGTAAACTATGAAAAGGACATTTTGGGCCCAGAAGCATTTATGATCAGTCTAAATTTGTGTCTTAAATGGCACTAATATCTACTTCAGACAAACGTGTCAATGTCATCCTGACAGTTGTGAATGCACCACGTGAAACTGAAAACTGACCAATACCTGATCATCTTTATACTATTTAAGCGTAGCTCAGATGACCAAATTCTGAAAATTTCGCAACCTAGCTGTAACTATAACTCACACAGCGAGGATGGCTCTCGCACTGCCGAGACTTGACCTTTAAGCTTCGAGGTTCGCCCAGAGCTGTGAATTTAATCACACTCGGATCCACTTTACCCAACCAACCTACTGCTCATGTGTAATCCACCATTGCAAAACAGCAAGCTAATTGGCTGGGCAGGATTTCCTTAGCAAAATTCTAGAATCCAACAGAATGTCCACGAACAGGGGTCTTGTTAATCTGGAGCTGTGATTTTCTCGACTGAAACGAGTGTTATTGCTCTCCAAATTTGCGTTTTTCTTCTAAAGCCTATTTGTTTTAATTAATTAAACAAGACCTGTTATATTCATTTTGCGCCTTTATTTATTGAGTTATTGTTAGTTATTCTTTTGTAATTTAAACCTACTTCGTATGTTACACAACACACGGTCGTATTAATCTCCCTTAAATACTAACCGCCTTTACGGCTGCCGGCGGAGCCCGACAGTGAGTGCCAAGGCAGAATGCGACGATCAAGTCCCTTAGCCGATCACTCTCTGTCTACCCACATATTTTAGATCAAAACCGGCCAGATAATGAGGTCTTGGATGAATGGTTTATGCGGTAAACCTTCTGATCAACTAGTCGCGGATCTTGAGACTCGGGAGTCATACTTCTCGGAAGTGGGTATGGCTGGCTAGTGACGGCTATTAAACCACAAATTTCCAATCTAGCCCATCTTACCTTTGTCCACCAGCATTGCACAAGCTCTGGCTCCCAATTATTTGTTTTATGTGTTTAACATGCGATCGGGTGCTGATCAATATTACGCACTATGCTATCTTTGTACGTTATTTATTGGAAATTCTTCAGAGCTATGTACTTTTAGGGCAGTGGATCAATATCAAGGTACAGGCTGCTAATCTGGTTTATAGAAATTGGATAGTGCCATTGACCGGTGTGAGCGCATACGGAATATCACATCGTCCGTATATTATAAACCTCAAGAAGCTGGATTTGTTTATAAGCACACTAAAGGTCAAATTGTGGATTAGAACGTTCTACTGAAATCAAACTGCACATTTTAAACAAGAAAATTCCTCAGTGCTCATGTTCGGAATAATACGCTTTTCCATGACACACCCTCGAATAAAAAGCCTATAACCCATAAGAAAATTCCCACTCTTACGGTTTGTAATTTATGCCAGGCCACAGTACGGTCTAGATGGCTGTCAATATGCGTCATCACCAACACATTGCCAGCTTAACCTCGCTGAAGTAAAAACTCGCACAGCCTTCCTAACCATTCGCCTCCGCAGGTTTGTTAACTATCGTCCAATTGAATGCGTCTTTGCACCCTAATCGGCCAATGAAAGACTGCGGAGCATCAGTATGTGCGTGCGGTTGGAAAGTGTAATGACTAGAAAAATGCAGGTCTAATGACCTGGCAGCCATTCACCTCTCACGCTTTGGTGATCACCCGAAATGGCACTCTCGCAGTCTGAACTCTTCGAGGACAAATATCCTCTGTTTCGCAGCTGTCCTACATTGAATGAAATTCGCATTGCGGAGGACATCAAGGACGTGACGATAGAGGTAACTTGTCTTGCTTTTACAGCTGTTTGACACGGAACTTTGTGTGTGTTAGGTGAAGAATCGTGATGTGCTCCACGTCCACAGAATAATACTGACAGCTCGCGTTCCTTCTTTGTGGGCGTTACTCAGGAGCCCAAGCCGGGAAGAAAATTCGGTCCTAAGATGGCCGACAGTGCCTCTGAGGTAACATTGGCCTCCTTTCTTCCAGACCCGGCTCCTTAGGAGAGGTGAAGGAAGTCTTGGGAAGACCAGAGTGTTAGGAATAGTATATTTTTCAGAAAAATAGAATAATAGGTTGTGAAAGACTTGACTGCCGGACCGCACGTCTAATCGCGAGGTGAACTAGGTTCAGAGTGATGGCTAGCGGTAGCCACGGCCTTGAGGTCTGTTTAGACGGATTGAGGTCACACCACTGTTAGTTGAGACCAGAACGGTGGAGACACGGTGCATGCGTTCGCTAGCAGTGACGGTCGCGCGTCCGCTTGCGCATGCCCCGAAGCAACTTCATTCATAAATTATGTGTAAACGGGGCAAGTGGAGACTACACAGGCGAATACGAGGGGCCTTTTTACGTTTGCCAAAATGATGCAGCTCCCTGCACTTGAGAATGGGGTAGTGATGTACCTGGCTAAGTGGTAAATGCTCTTAGGTTACTTTGTTTGAACTGTTCCCTTTAAAGTGTCAATTTAGACAATCTTTCGACTACTTTGGAATTTGTTTGTTCCCTGGAAATAGAATCACTCATGGATCCTTGCATCACTCTGGTGTGTGACCAGTTTACAAATTTTATTTCTACGGACCTGTTTGTCCGCCTACCAGCGGACAGTGTGCTCAAGCTGCTTCGGAACGATGATTTACCTGTGGACTCTGAGGAAAAAGTGTTTGCAGCTATTTCGCAATGGTTGAGCCCTTGTTCAGTAATTGATGAGAAGAGGCTGGAGTTGTATGGCCCAATGATGCTAAAGGAGGTTCGTTGGTGTCAGACAACCCTTCAATTCCGAAAATATCTAGTGGATAATCCTGAAATATTTAAGGACTGTGGGTGCCTTTAAGTAGTTGCCGTTATAATTTGACACATTTTCCTCACGATAGTCGGTTTATGGCC